TGAAGGTTAAACCACACCTGCAGGTCATCAATTGCCTGAATAGACTCATCCCTGATTAACAGACTTCCTTAACTTACAACATTCCAAGCCTTTAGACAAATCTTCATCTCTTTAACCATTTACTAATCCAAGAAAAGTTGAGCCCACCTGTGATCTGGAAGCCCCTGCTTTGGGGCTGAGCTGACACGCACCTTCCAGGCCCTGACTCCGGGTCTCAGGCGTGATTCCTTCCTCCATGAAGGTGTGAAACCCAGCGGTGACCTGGCCGCCTCAGGCACATGTTCTCAGGACCTCTGGAGGCCATGTGCTCTGGGCTATGGTCACGCACGTTCAACTCAGAATAAACCTCTTTAAGTTGTTGTACAGAGTTTTGGTTTTTTCCTGTTAAAGGTGGGGTGAGAAAGACTTTTCTCAAGGGACTGTGGCATTAGGTATAGGGACCACCGCAATGGGGTCTCCAAATAGGAGAGGGACGCTGGACTCAGATCTGACTCCAATCAGGACCAGTGGTGGGTTATAATCTAGTAGTGGGGGCTGGAAGGGGGTGGTCAGCAGGTGGAAAATCACCAAGAGGAAGCCTGAGAGGAAAGGGAGGATTTGGGTGGAGATGAGGCAGAAATTCTGGAATCCCCAGAGCAGCGTCGTGGCACTGTGCTCACCTTGTTCACCCCTCCTATCTCTAATGACCAGGGGTCCTCCTTGGGGTGGGGGATTTTCCACTCTCCACGTGGTTCCAGGACCCAGGGCTGTGGCTGCTCCCCAGTGACTTGGGGGGCAGGAAGGAGAGAGGGGTCTCCACGTGTTCAGGTCAATGGGTGCGAGTGGACGGCCCCAGAGAGGATCCTGCACAGGCGAGGGTCCTCCAGTGTCCCCTACAATGTCACTAAAGTTAGACATTATCCACCCATGGGGACATCTGGTCTTAGCCTTGTGAGATTCTTCCTCCCTTAAACTGTGGCAAAAAGTTAAAAATTATTTCTAAAGCTGATATTAAACCAGGCTGCCGTGTGCATCACAGGTAATCTGCTGATGAGATTACAAAGTCAGAGGGGAAGTCAGGCCCTTCACACAGCAGACACAGTCCTTACGTGTTCTGAAGATAAGGAGCAACTAGTCCTCAGGGAATAAGGCCTAAGGCTTAACCCCACCTCCTGTGGTCTTCAGGGCTCAGTCCTGAATTCAGCTGGTAAATGAGGCAGTGTCTATGTTAATCACCTCCCCCCCAAGAATAAACAAAACTTTCCCTGGGGCAAGGGGTCAGTAACAGCTTGGAGCAAGGCCAGGGGAGAGGACACTGTCTGGCTTGTTGTTTGCAGAGAGTTGACTGTCAAGCCCTTAATAAAACAGACCCAGGTTGCAATTCTGGTAAGAGGCTTAGTTAGTTTCTAAAAAGTTGTTTTGTTTTGTTTTGTTTTTTGCAGTTTTTGCCTGGGGGCTGGGTTTGAACCCACCACCTCCGGCATATGGGACCAGTGCCCTACTCCTTTGAGCCACAGGCGCTGCCCCTCTAAAAAGATTTATATGCGTACCAAAGGACTGAGGAAGGAGCTACAAATAAAAGTTTTCTCTATGACATGCTCTAAGACAAGGGGAGGGTAGAAAATGTCTCTATCCCATTTGGTAACAGGGGAAATTCAATTTCTTAAACGTGCCCTTTCACTTGTCCAGACACGTGAAGAGAAACAGGCTTGATTCCTAAACAGATAGGCTTTGCCGATATCTCCCGGAAGCAGATAGATGGCTGATATTTTAAGGATGAAGTTAAGTGTTTCTTTCGGTTTGCCACAAACTGTGGTTAAGTAATCAGTCCCATCGTTAAGCCTCAAAAGATTAGCTTGTTCTTTAATACTATGTATTACACCCAAGAAAAAGTCTCAAATGGGCCGGTGTGATGGCTCATGTCTGTAATCCTAGCACTCTGGGAGACTGAGGTGGGTGGATTGCTTGAGCTGAGGAGACCAGGCTGAGCAAGAATTTGACCCCCCATCTCTTAAAATAGAAAAACTATTGGTACCTGTAGTCCCAGCTTCTTCGGAGGCTGAAGCAGGAGGATCACTTGAGCCCAAGAGTTTGAGGTTGCTGTGAGCTATGACATCACAGCACTCTACCCAGATCGACAGAGTGAGACTGTCTCAAAAAGGAAAAAAAAAAACAGTCTCAAATGGTCTGCCTTCATTCTCAGCTGTCTGCGTCCATTAAATCATGACAGCAGGAATGTGTTCTGCTATTGCTCAAATCAAAGAGCAGGCGCTCGCTGATTGGGTGAGGACAGACTCTATCAGGACGATCCTGTCACAGCGGGAGAAGGCACAGCGGGAGCTGAGCTGCACAGTGATGCAGGCACCGGGTCTGCACTGCAAAGGGAGAAAGGGACGTGAGTGGAGAGCCAGGAGGGAAACACCACACCAAGTACCAGGAGGGGGCGGGGGTCACATGTGCGTGGTCCACACGGTGGGTTCCTCTCCCTTCCCCCAACAGAGACTGTGAGTGAGGCAGGGCCCCTGTCTATGGGGGTTCCTGAAACAAATAGCAAGTTCTTCCCACAGCCTTGAGCTTCCTCATGAAGGCACTCTGAGGGGCCGGGGTCATCTAGGGATGTGCCCTGGGACTGTTAGAACCTACGCTGATGTCCGTGCCGATATTTGTGACCAAGGTTGAGACCTAGTTAAGGACAGGCCCAGGGAGCCGTGGCCAGAGATTGGCCAAGAGGAGAATTTTCACCACTGTTCTCAGAGCAGTTTCGCCTCATTTGATGAAATTCTTGTCACAGATGATTCACCCACTGCCTGGCTGCTCCCAGCTCTTTCTCACGTTTGACGTGGGACTCCCGCCCTTCAGCTTTTACTGTCATTATCTGGAGAGGGGACAGCCAGCCATGAGGGAGACACCAAAAGTTCACAGAGTAATCAACCATAAAGACAAACAGCACTCATTTTGGCCTAAGCTGACTGGTTCCAAAAGTTCTGCCCGTACAATTGGAGGTTTGGGTTGATTTTATTCATTAATAGGACCCTGCATATCTGAGACAGTGGCTGAAAGCACGGGGGCAAAAGCCACTTCCTACTTGTTCCCCAGATCAGTGTTTCCTTCCAAGGCTGACTTAGGCACACCTGTGGTGTCTCAGTCAAGTGTGAACGGATCTGCCCTTGGGGGAAGATGTCACCCAAATGTTTGGGAGTATCTTGACCGCCTCTGGGCATTCTGCCATTCTTGGGCTGTAGTTATCTCAGGCTGCAAGGAGGTTCTGCTATTTCCTGGTGAAAATGCAAAGAATTTCTAGCAGTTTACAGAAAGTTACAAAGTTCTGTTCAGCAGTTTGACCTGTCTCTTCCCACCTTTTCTAAGAGTGTCCTTGCTGGGCCGCTGGAGCTGAGGTAACACTCACTGTTTCATCCCAGGGCAGTCAAGGCCACGTAGTTGCCTGCTTCTGTTCTGACATGAACCCCAGAAACTCCTTTACAACATGAGGGAGCTAAGGCACTAGAGAATCGTAAAATTTTGGTTCTAAGACCAGTCACAGAATCAGAAGTGATGGGGGTGTTGGAGTCTTGATGACTCTGAGCTATGACTCACTGAGATATGATTCCACTTAAACTGTGAAGTCTAAAACTCAGGTCCTAATTAGCCCCTCCAAAAAGAGGAACATGAAGGATCAGCCTGCGTGAGTGTTAGTCACCAATTCATTATAATTAGTTTCCTAATTTTTTCTTTATGTAATGCATTAGCAAGAGACCAAATTATATGAAATAGCAGATTATTTTTTGGTAGTTACTTTCTGATAGTTTTTAATGAAACTGGGAAGATGATATAAATACTATAGGCGGAACTTTAATATTGCAAATGATGCCTGAGGCCTCAAACTGTTAGTAATTCATACTCCTTGAGCACCGTATCAGAAATGGATATCCCTGTCACAAAGCAAAGAGAGACAAAATTAATTTGCTCACAGGAGGGTAAAAAGGGAAATTCCCTTTCCATTTGACTTTTGCTTATTTATTTTTATTCTTTGCTTTTTTTTTTTTAGTGGAGATAGAGCCCCACCTTATGCCCTGAGCAGATTGCAGTGACGTCATAGCTCACTACAACCTCAGACTGAGGCAGTGGGCATCCTCCTGCCTCAGCCTCCAGAAACTGCTGGGATTATAGGTGCTCAACATGGTGCCTGGCTGGGTTTTTCCATTTTTTTAGGAGTTGGGGTCTCACTCTTGCTCCGGCAATTCTCAAACTCAGGAGCTCAAGCAATGCTCCCTCCTTAACCTCCCACAGTGATGGGATTATAGGCGTGAGCCACCATGTCCAACCCAATTTAGCTTTAGATTTTTTATGAAGGGTCAATTTTGAAAAATAGTCATTAGCCCTGCCTCTAAATTGTGTGTATCTGTGTACATGGTCTGTGTGTCTGTGTATCTGTGCATGTGTGTCTATGGGTGTGTCTGTGTGTCTGTGTGTGTGTGTATGTATGTCTTTGTGTGTGTCTGTGTATATTGTGTGTGTATGTATGTCTTTGAGTGTGTGTGTGTGTCTGTGTTTATCTGTGTGTGTGCCTGTGTGTCTGTGTGAGTATGTGTGTATGTATGTCTGTGTATGTGGTCTGTGTGTCTGTGTGTGTATCTGTATAAGATACTTAATTGTTTCAAATGAGGCATGATAAAGGGGCATGATCATGGCACAAACAAAAAAACCAGGTCTGTCGCTGGCTGTTTCTTACAATAGTCTAACATACACCACTGTTGAGATTACAAATTTCTTACAATAATTCATGAGAATATATGTAGATTCTGAATGGGAAAATTTACTTTGGCAAAAATTAATATTTTTATGAGCATATAATACTTTACTTTAGAATTCTCCTCCATAATAAATGTGTAAAGTCATTTCAACTCCCTTTGCACACGGAGCAATACTGAGCCAGCTGTCCCCGCCTCCCGTCCTTTGGTTAGCCTGTTAACAGTGAGCAATCTGGGTGTTGTCTGCCCCTTGGTCTTATAACCTTCAAACGGCATGCCACGGGGCGTTGCCCAACATTAGAGGCAGAGGGAGGAAACAGGACGTGCTGAGCCAGAGGAGGAAGAGGCAATGGATCTCCAACACCAGCGGGTGAAACTGAACGATGGCCACTTCATGCCGGTTCTGGGATTTGGCACCTTTGCACCTCCAGAGGTAACAAAGGGGTCTTGGTGCTGTAAGCTCAAAAGAGTAGACCCCCACCTAGGATGAGTGGAAGGCAAGCTGGTTGTTGGGATCACTGCTGGTGGGACTGGGGCCTCTCCCGGTTCTAACTTTTGCCGGGCTAGAGATAGTCTATGTACGAGACAGAAGAAGCTCACACTTTGCTCTGCGTCCAGGTCCAGTCTTAGGGCCTCCCACCAACTCTTTGTCCCCCTGCTTCTGTCCATTTCCCAGCGTGGCAGGTGATCTCAAACTCTGCAGAGGAGAACATGGGCTGCTGCTCCCTTGCTGGCATGCTCATTGCAATGGCAGCTATTTCTTTATAATTCAAGAAATCTCCCCCCTTCTAAGTAGATATGATCCAAAGCAATCTTTCCGGTAAAAGTTACTGTATATGGGGCGGGTTTAAAAATTGGGAGAGTATCGCTGTTCTGCTGGGTGGTAGCCTTGAGCACCACACAGAAATACTGGACCTGGAATAAATAGAATTTCCCGTGTAGACTCTCTTCTCTAGGAAACTTACCTGAAAAGAAACTGTGCCATCATTTTCGTGGAAAACTAGGACCTGACAAGGGCAAGTTTTAACTACTGGTCCTTGTTCACATGCATTGAATTTATGTCAGGATGACAGGGATCTTCTGACATGAAAGTGAGCAGAATGAACAGTCCACTCTGGTCTGAACTGTTGGTCAGTTGGAGGAAGTCTGCAGTGCCACCACTGTCCACAGATGCCTCATCACGTGACCCAGCTACAAGTGACCCGAGTGACTAGGGGCTGGTTACTTAGATGTTGAGTCTCAGAGTCTTGTCTATAAGACAGGGATATGCAGAGACATTTGGAAGACTTGCCCAGACTCGTTTACTTTATAATATAAACTGGCATGGGGCAGGGCCTGTGGCTCAGTGGGTAGGATGCTGGCCCCCTATACTGAGGGTGACAGGTTCAAACCCAGCCCCGGCCAAACTGCAACCAAAAATTTGCCAGGTGTTGTGGCAGGTACCTGTAGTCCCAGCTACTCGGGAGGTTGAGGCAAGAGAATCTCCTAAGCTCAAGACCTGGAGGTTGCTGTGAGCTGTGACACCAGGGCAGTCTATCGAGGGCAACAAAGTGAAACTGTGTCTCTAAAAAAAAGCATATGCACTAGTAAAATAAAAAAAATTAAAAACCCTGTAATGAGGGAGGGGTGAGATAAGCACACCCCTGGAGCTGCAGCCTCAGTCCTATGGGAGTGGATCTGAGCCACAGTGCCGATCAAGGCCGTGTCGGGGGAGGGCAGAGAGACCTGGGACACACCTCTTTGTAATTTCACCTTTAACAGCAAGCTTCTGACGTATTTAAAAAGAAATGGAAAATGGTCTCTTTGACTCAGGTTTTTGTCACTTTACACGTGGACTTTCGAAGGTTTATCCAAATTGGCCAATAGGACAATAATTTTAAATTTCACTAAAATGATGTTTTTCCTAAGAGTTGGCTTGATTTTTAGGGCTGACCCCTACTTTTCTGACCTTTTACAGGCTGCGGTTAATTCTTATATATGATCTACATCCTTAGATCACACTGTTACCCCCAGTGTTTTTTGGTACAGACAGCATAGAAAAGTGATAACATAATGGCCCCGAGCCTTGGTAGTGCCTACGCTCAAAATTAGACCCGGAGGGTACCTATTGCTCACCGCTTCCTAGGCAGCATGTATGGTGACTGTCACTGAGCTCTTTTGGCTAATGCCAGGGTTTAGGTATACCCATTTTCTTTTGGAAAACTAGTGTTCTGGTGGGTGCTAGGCAGAGCGAAGGTGTCTATGAAACCATCCCCCAGTGAAAATCTGAGGAATCCAGAAGCTGCCGAGCCCCCATGTAGACATCATCCCCCGCCCCCCGTGCTAATAGCGGATGATGCTGGGGAGATGCCGTGTGTCCCGCTTACTGGCCCTGGGAGATGACTCACGGAGGCTCGCACTGTATTTCTTCTATACTTCCCTGCACGCACCTTTTCTCTGTGTTAACTTCACTATATAAAAATAACTACTAATCACTATGTTAATAAGCACACTAGTATGCTAAGTCCTGTTATTTTTTCCAACAAATCAGCGACCAGGCATGTTCTTTGGGACCTGCCCCTGATGCCTGTGATCAACCAGTGATTGCCCAGGACTGAAGGGAACCCTGGGTTGCCTGACCTTTGCATAATAGTAACAATGTTATTCATATTCATATTCCTATTCCTGTTACTATTACATTGCAGTAATTGTAAACTAGAAAGGGGAGGATTCGGGAGAAATGGGACAGGTTCATCACTCCAAATACAGAATTAGCAGCAAGACATGAGGAAAAGCTGATTCTCGTGAAGATCACTGCTTGTACCTGAGCTTCCTCTCAGTCACCGGGGCCTCCTAATCCTACCTCTGGTGCCCCTCCAGGTTGACAGGAGCAAGGCTATGGAGGCCACCAAATGGGCGATAGAAGCTGGGTTCCGCCATATTGATTCTGCTCACCTGTACAACAATGAAGAGCAGGTCGGGCTGGCCATCCGCAGCAAGATCGCAGATGGCTCTGTGAGGAGAGAAGACATCTTCTACACGTCAAAGGTGCAGTGTCACCGTCTGCTGGGAGGGCACGGATGTAATGTGGTGGTAGAGAGGTGACGGCAATGTGACTGGATCAATAATTGTCACTGAATGGTGCTTATCAGTTCAACTTGTATTCTCACGTGTGCTTGTATTAAAACTTCAGTGGAGGGCAGGGAGGGATGACCGCCTCCGTCTCATCCTTGCTGTGTTCAAATGAATCACTGTAAAGTCACTTTGCTTTGCTGACACTCAGCTCAAATCAGTGCCGCTACAAAATTTCTTATTATCCTGAATCTCTATGGGCACCATTGTCAGACAGAGATAAAAGAGATATGTGAGTGTTAAACAAGACCCAGCTGAAGTTTCCTGAATGGTGTCTGTCTAGCATACGTTAGAATGTTAAAATCCTTTCCCTTGAGTCTCTGAACAATGGAAATACTAATTCTTGCCCATCGGTTTGAATGGATGAGAGAATTGACCATCGAACTCTCTGTAAGCTCCCTGAGACACAATACAGATGACAGGAACAATTATTACTTGATAAAATTTGTTATCTTTTGTGTAATTTACCTCCATTTTCAGTAGCTGTCCTGTATATCCAGCAGATAATTGAGTTCATATGGATAGTTCTGATCAACAGGAAACACCGAAAATGGAAGGGAATTTCTTTTTGTCAGTGATGAACCATTTTGAAACAGTAGGAAGATGTTTAAAAATTAAGTGAAGCAAGCTAATAAAATTGTCTGAAGCATTTATTCAATGCAATGTTCTTTCCTTAACCTCTACAGCTTTGGTCCACTTTCCATCGACCGGAGTGGGTCCGACCAGCCTTGGAAAAGTCACTGAAAAAACTTCAGCTGGACTATGTTGACCTCTACATCATTCATTCCCCAATGTCTTTGCAGGTAGGTGACTTGCGTGATCAAACCCCTTCCATGTGCTGTCGTCACGCCCACCTTCAGCATGAATGGTTGGAGTAAAGTTTTTTCTTAGGAGGGTGCAGGGTTTATGAAGTGGGGGAAGAACCCTAAATATAATCCAATTCTCCTCGTGCTAATAAAGTTCACGCCCCTACCTCTCTACTGCATGCCAACGGCATCTGTCTCAAAAACTTGAGAAATTAACAAAAGTGGCATTCAAGGCTCTGTCCCCGTCATGGCTTCTCAGCCCATCTCTTGGGATGGTCACAGACGCAAATGTCACACAGCTGGCACTCGCCCATGCTGCTGCCCAGGGGGAGCACAGCGAGTTTCTCCATCTCTCGCCGCCGTTAGATGCTGAGACAGATTTGGAGAGACTCGCTGGGTTGGTCTCAAACCACAGACCTTTACTGGGAAACTTCCTTCTACCTCTCACTATTCTTTCGAACTGGAGTTTTGCAACTGCACTGAGCTATTAATTCCCACATTGTACACTGCTCCAGCTATTGTAAGTAAAGGAGTTTATTGGATCGTGTAAATGGGAAGTCAGAACCTTGGCTATGTGTCAGGACTTGACAAAGTCTTCAGAAACTTTTCTCCATCCTTATCTGTGTATTCCAGGGGTCCTCAAACTTTAAACAGGGGGCCAGTTCACTGTCCCTCAGACCGTTGGAGGGACAGACTATAGTTTAAAAGGACAGGCAGCGACTAAGCAGGAGAGGCAGCAGGCAGGCTGGATAAATGTCCTCAGCCGGCTGCATGTGGCCCACAGGCCATAGCTTGAGGATGCCTGGTGTATTCAAACAGATTTGCTGGATTTTTTTTTTTTTTTTTTTTGTCCCACCTTTTACCAATCCTGACGATTATGGCCTTGGGGTAGTTTAAAGCCCACAGTCATTAACATAAGAAAGCTTCTCTGGGTCTTCCAACATACAATTTAATCTTAAACAAAGAATCTCCAATGACCATGTTGGGGTCATGGTCCTGCCTGTGGACCATGACACGGTCAAGAGCATAAGGAGCCCTGACTCTCTTGCCTGGGCTGAGATTGCAGGCAGGACTATTGGGAGGTCTTTCTCAATGAAATGTTCCCCCCACCCCCATTACTGCTCAGAAAGCTCTTACCTCCTCCCAGATCTGAAACTGACAGTGTGTCCCTCTAGTGGACAAGCGTGGCACTGTTGTTGTTTTAATTCCAGTTTGCAGAGTTGCTTGTTCTCAGAATTGAGTTTATTATTTACTCTTCCAAGAGGCACAGATGTAAAATTTCTCTCTTTGAAAAAGACCGTTTCTCAGGGAAAGAGGCATTTCCTAGGGGGGAATGAGGGGAAGACAAACATAGCATAAGGCTGCTGTCAGGAGGCCTCGGCAGGACCTGGGAAGATGGCGTTTATTCACACATATAAGATGGACGCGATTAGAGGAAGACTTCTCCTAAAGACCTGGCATACAACGCATGGGAAACACGCTGCAAATACCAGTGTTGGGGACGTTGCTGCACCTTGTCACAGAGGATTAGCCCCTGGAGGTGGATCTGGCAGTGGCTAGGAGAGGAGACATTAATTTGTGACAGCACAAAAGTGACTTCTTCTGTTTTAGCCAGGTGAGGAGCTTTTCCCAAAAGATGAAAATGGAAAGACAATATATGACACGGTGGATCTCTGTGCCACGTGGGAGGTGAGTGTGTAGGGGAGACCACAGGGCGGGGAGGCTGGAGGTGGGGACCTGCCTCCCATTTTCCACCTGCGGTGATGGGATGTGTGCCACCCTACCCACACATCCACAAGCTGCACGGGGGAGTCTGTCCGCATGTTTAGGGGGAGAATGAAACAGAGAGAAATGGGGGAGGAGAGCGGGGACGGGAACCTCTTCACTCCAAGTGCTATGACCTCCCAAGCACCCTAAGGAGGACACAGGAGTTCTGACTCTTGTGGTCACTATTTTCTGATTTAATTTTTCTGTGCTTGACAGTCACCACTAGATAATTCGCGTCATTTCTGAGCAGTTAGTGTTCTAACAGTTCTATCTTGCCTGGACTGTGATCTGCAGTCAGCTGCACACACAACCCTTCACAATGCCCCCCTCTCCAGGCCCTGGAGAAGTGTAAAGATGCTGGATTGGCCAAGTCCATCGGGGTGTCCAACTTTAACCGCAGGCAGCTGGACATGATCCTGAAGAAGCCCGGGCTGAAGTACAAGCCCGTCTGCAACCAGGTGAGCTTGGCAGACCCGTCTCCGTTCTGTTCCTCAAGCTCTTCCTCCTGCTCTCCTGCCAGGTGGCCATTTGACGTTCCCTCCCATTCGTCTCCCTTTGTGGAGCCAAAGATTCTGCACAGCGCAGCCCCTGTCTAGAAAGGCATGGAGGACCTTCAGTTGTATCTCTGCTAGGAAAAGTCTTAGTATAATTTGGGGAGAGCTCAGAGCAGAAACATGTACAATAAGTCAGGGAGGTGAACTTGGTCAAAGAGGCCCAGACTGTAGATCGGACCTGGGGACAGGGACTGGTCATTCTCGGAGCTGTGAAAGGTGCCCAGAGACTGAGGGGTGAGGTGATCAGGAGGGGACTGAGAAACAGATGGGAGGTCGCGAAGGTGAGGAATGGGCAGCAAGGAAGGAGAGGAGAATCAGAGAAGGTGGGTGCTGGGGGTTGAAATGGGGTTCGGCTGCCTGAGTCCTTGGTCTTCTTATTTCTGCTTCAGGGGTTCATGAACAGGGCAGAGATAAATTCAAAGTTAACTGGAGACAATAAAAGTCATCCAGGTGTGAGAGGAACTTTGCTGTTGTGGAGACACCTGTTGATGGAGGATGAAATCAACACTGAGGCTCTTGAGCAGAACACGGAGCTGCCCCGTGCCCACCCCTGGCCCCAGTCCTAGTCTGCTCCCCTCGTCCTAGCCCACACCCCCAATCCTAGCCTGCTCCCCAACCCCCCACCCCCACCCCGCCCAGCTCTTGTCCCAGGCTGGCAAACTGACCATGTCTCCCTCTAGTGGACAAGTGTATTTTTAAAACTCTAATTCAAGGAGTTGCTTGTTCTCAGAAATGAATTTGTTAGTTTACTCGTTCCAGAGACATGGCTATAGAATTTATGTTTTTAAAAAAGATCGCTGCTTCAAATTCTCAGCTCAAATTTAATTTTACAAGATTTTTATCTTCTATGTGGCTTCTTGTTTCATAATCTTTGTTCACATTACTGTTCCTGTCCCACATAACCTGATGCCTCCCGCCTGGGTCGTCTGCAGGTGGAATGCCATCCTTATCTCAACCAGAGCAAGCTGCTGGATTTCTGCAAGTCCCAAGACATCGTGCTGGTGGCCTACAGTGCTCTGGGGACCCAGCGAGATAAACGATGGTAAGAAGACAGGAGGCAGTCTACCTAAAATATCACTCGGATTAAAAGTCGCTTTAGTGATGCCACCCTCCTTTCCTGGAGTGCTGTCAGGTGGCTCAGGGACAGGGGTCAAGTTGCATGTCCAACAACATCCCAGCAAATGCTGGTGCTGCTGGCCCGGAACCACCCTGGAGAGGCCTTGGTGTGCAGTGAACGCCTGGGTCGGTTTGGGAAGCCCCTGCCACGCCCAATATGAGACCTCAGGAGCTCAGTATCGTCTCCTTCCTTCCAGGGTGGACCCGAACTCCCCCGTCCTCCTGGAAGACCCAGTCCTGTGCGCTCTGGCCAAAAAGTACAAGCAGACCCCCGCCCTGGTCGCCCTGCGCTACCAGCTGCAGCGCGGGGTTGTGGTCCTGGCCAAGAGCTACAATGAGCAGCGGATCCGAGAGAACATGCAGGTGATGGGGCTTGGCCAGGGCTCCTGCATGGGGAGTGGGGCCGTGTCTGGGCTGTGTCTCCCTCCAGATGCCCTGGGCCTGTGCTGTGCGTGTCCCCCAGGCTTCCTGCCACTCCCAGCAGCACAGGCAGTGGAGGGAGAGGTCTACAGGGCCTCAAGCAGAGATCTGGGTTTAAGGGTTACGTCTCCAGTGGGCTCTGTCTCCCCTGCAGGGACATGTTCTTCTCCACTTCTGAAGTGAGGGATTCAGACGAGGTGGAGGGGTCTCTGGTCTCCAGACTCTGTGTGTGTATGTGTGTGTGTGTGTCATTTACTCATACACCTACGTAGTCAAATTCTCCTATCCCTGGGGCTCCCGCATGTGTAAGGGGGGTGGGAGGTGGGGCGGGCTATTAAGTTTATAGCTACATCAAAATATTTCTTTGACAATTATCAGAAAGTCCATATTTGCCTACAGACCTTAATTTTTCACCTCTATCCTATATTCAATGTCCACCGGACTCTTCCGGACCTCCTGATTGACTTCTGTACTCCCCTCTACCGCCTTAGCAATGCTGGAAATAAATCTCACTGTCCAGAATAGTAAAACCTTCCTCTAATTCCTTCTCTTATTTTTTTTTAAATTTTACTCACTGGTCATCACACCCATCTTTACTTGGGAATACTTTGACTATTCTTGAATGATTGTGTGATTTGGTCTTTGGCTGATGTTGCACTGAACCTGAAGAAGAATTTGGAGACAACTGACTTCTTGACAATACCAAGATTTCTGATCCATAATCATGATAGACATTTCCAAGTATTTAAATGATTTTTAAATATGTTTCAGTACTTTTCATAACTTTCCCCACTGAGGCATTTGTATATGTTTTCTTAATAGAAATATGATAATTTTCATAGTCTTTTGATAAATTTTTTCTACTGAGAATTTTTAATTGTACAAAAATGATTAAAGAAGGAAGCAATGAACGCCTCCTCCCCAGATTCATCACGTGTTACGTTGTTGACATTTCTAATTTTCTTCCTCCCAGCCATTCTCTGTGCCACTGTTTCAGAGTATTGCTAGGGATTTGTGGATCATTCTGTTCAAATGTTACCAATGAGGGGCATCTCTCTGACATTTAAAATATCCCAAATTTAAAAAATGAGATCCTCTCCAGCCAGTGTCCATGTGCTTTGAACATGACATCATTTGTGTTTGGACAAGTGCTAGCTTGATTGTGTTGGAAAAGGGTTTTTATACACTAAATGTTCATTGAAAAGGGATGGAAATCCCACCATATCCGTCCAATTTACTATGTCAATTTATGTATTGCAAAAATTTGCCTCTTGGGTGGTACCTGTAGCTCAAAGGAGTAGGGTGCTGGCCTCATATGCCTGAGGTGGCAGGTTCAAACCCAGCCCCCACCAAAAACTGCAAAAAAAAAAAATTACCTCTTGATATTTCTGGATAGTGTATGATTTTTAAAAGTGTCAGCTTTGTTTCTAAGCCAGCATCTTCCAAGATCTTCTCTCTGCGTGCAGAGTCCCTACATTTTACCTGCGTTTCTCTCTGGGTGTTCATAAACCACTGGAGTGTTTGGCTGGATGTCTTTCATAACTGGTAGAAACATCAGATATTTTAAGTATTGTCTCCGCACCATGCTCTCTGTGACATCTGTGTGTTCCTGATTGGCGATTACGCAGTCTGAGAGTGATGATGATTTGCTGCTCCTGTGATAGGTTTTCCAATTCGAGCTGACGGCAGACGACATGAAAGCCATAGACGGCCTCAACAGAAATTGCCGCTATTTCATCTCTGACGTGTAAGTAACTCTGGTTAATATGTTGTCTAACTTTGTTTTCTGAAGAGGAATGTAGGACATGTGTTCAGTCACCTCAACACCAGGAAGGCACGACCAGGCTGAGGCAGAGGTGGGACAGGAGTTTCTGGAACTCTCCTCCCAGATTTATTCCTGAACTCTGTCCTCTAAGGACAAGTGGGCCCAGGGCCAGCAGGAGCCCATGCACTCCTGCCTCCATGGAACTTTCCAGAGCAGCCAGCGTCACTGAACCTACGCCTTCCACGTGGGGACTTCATTTCTACCAGTGTCTCGTGGACATACACTGTGGATATTCCCAGTGTAGCCTGATCACGTGTTTCCACATCTCATTCTCCCCAACCAGCTTATCAGCCTGTGTCCAGGCCACACATTGCACTTTCCCCGCATGGAATGTTCCCTAGATCTGCAGATTCAGCATCTTCCATGGCCCAGTCTCTTTCTTCCTTCTGGTTGGATATTTGCTCCCCCATGGCCCAAACACCGCATCTGCCTCGAGAATGGCCGGCCTGACGGGGTCAGTGGGGCCCTTGGTCTAGATTTTCTCCAGTATGCACATCTCAGCCCAGAGGATGGTGACGCTTTAGAGAGGGAGGAGGGTGAAGCCAGGCCTCCTTACTGGAGAGAACTGATAGCCGACCAAAGGTGCTTGCTGTCCCTTCCTACTCTAAGATTCTAGGATTCACAGAAGGACATTTATCACAACGAGAGAGAAGAAGTTCTGTTCCTGCTGCTAATAGAGATCTTAACAGTTAATAGAGGTGAAAAGACAGCCCAGGAAAAGGGACGCGTCATAAATACTCAGAAGTCCATGGGTCCATTATCACTGTTGATATGTTATTACTTCAGGGTAAAATAATGAGAAAACATAAAAGACATAAAAGGGAGAGACCATCAAGCATTAGCAGTTTCTACCACCAATTAAACATTTAATAATAAGCAGTCACGTAGCCATCACTTTATATTTTTGTGTGTTATTTCTACATAGGGATTTTCATTACTGTACACTGTCTCTTTGGAGAAGGGCCCTACTTACATACGAAAATTTACAATTCTGAATCTAATCCAGTATGCTTTGTATGGTCAGTGGTGAGTAGTTAATTAATAAAATGCAAGTATATTTCCTGCCACTCACATTTACCCCTCAGTAGTTATTAGTGGTGAGCATGTACCTCTCTTATCCCTGTCCAAAATTCCAGAAGGAGTTTCTACTTCCACTGATGACCTGAAATAAAAATGGAGAGAATATCTCTTTGTCTCAGTGAAAGATGTAGATCAGGGGTTCTCAACCTTCCTGATGCTGCGGCCCTTTAGTACAGTTTCTGTGGGTCACAACGCACAGGTTGAGAACCGCTGATGTAGGTAAACATGTTTGATGGATGACTGAGGATTCTGGGTGTTCTAGTCTAAAAATGCCTCTTTACTGGAGAGAACTGATAGCCAACCGAAGGTGCTGACCCCACTGACCCCATCAGGCCAGCCGTTCTAGAGGCAGAACTTGAATGATTGAGTGTTTTTTAGAGACAGGTGAAGTCATGGTCACGAAAGTAAGACAGGCAGATCCCACAGCTCACCAGGAAATAAGTTTGGTAACTTCCGCCCCAAGGGCGGCTCCCTAGACACCACTTTCCTGCCCGCCACTCATGGAGCCCTTGCCTCCCCCTTCCACACCTTCTTTCTCTTTGCAGCCTTTCTGACCATCCCAACTACCCATATTCGGATGAATATTAGCGTGGAGGTCTTCCTGCCTTCTGCAGCAGCCACTGTGGGGTCACGATGCAGAAGATGTCTCTGGGGCTGGTTGTCAGACACGTGGCCTCTGGTGAATTCCGCACTGCAGAGCAGCCTCCAGCAGCTGGCCCTGAGTCGGCAGAGAGGGAAGGAACTGAATGTGTGTTTGCCGTTTTGAAAAGCATTAAATGTTTTCCCCAGAGGATCCTTTATCTACTCATGTGTCTGCTACTTGTGTGTTGTGATTCTTCTCACTCATTAGGGCCCAAACCCGTGATTGGCTTAGGTGTTCGGGGATGGTAGGTGCGAGGTGGTACCTGCCATTTTATAGACTCAAGAATGGGGAAGAAAGCATCCAGTGTACTCAATACTACTATAACCACCTACACACTCATTTGAATGGCAAAACATAACTATAGTCCAGAAAGTAGAAGGGAAGAGGAGAGAGATGGGAGAGGAGAAAGGATATGGGAGGAAGGATGGTATTTGGGGGCACCTCACCTAATGTGCATGATGCACATGTACATTTCAAAACTATTAAGAAATGAGTATAATTGTGATGGATGTGTTACTTAATTCAATGTAAGCATTTCACATTGTATATGGAAGCAGTACCCTAAACCCCATAAATGCATCAATGTACAAAGTTATGATTTAATAAAAAAGAATTTTAAAAATATAGGAAAATAACAAAATATGGAAAAAATCTTTAATTGCATTGTATTCGCTAACATGATTTAATAGTTGATTAGATTAGTGAAGGTGATTAGATTAGTATGGTTGATTAGATTAGTGGTTGTTGATTAGATTAGTGGTTATTGATTAGATTAGTGTCGTTGATTAGTATGGTTGATTAGATTAGTGAAGTTGATTAGATTGGTGTAGGCGATTGGCTCCTGAAGCCCCAGGTGACCATCACAGTCCACTTACCCCACTAGAGAATCCTTGAGACCATGTGGAGAGAAAGGTGGGTCCCCTGAGCCCAGCCCCTCCTGCCAAGGTACGAAGTGTGTAAGCAAAGCCAGCCCCCCACCAGCCTGCTGGACCCTCTGGGCCACCAGTGGCCAGCTGAATACCAAACTACCCCTACTAATGCCAAGTAGGGCAGAAAAATCCTATAGCCAAACTGCGCCTAAATTCCTGACCCATGACATTGTTGGTGGAAAAAGTCTCGTCCTAAGCCATGAGCTGGGGGTTGTGCGTTACACAGTAATAGATAAGGCATCCCTTAGCCATTCTCCAGGCCCCTTCCCCGCTGATGCTCTTGCAGCCTGCCCAGCCTCAGAGAAAGTTTCTCCAACCCTCTCTTCAAATGTCTGAATGGTCTTCCTCAGAACTCAAGTGCTTGCTACCTTCAGCCCTGATGATCTGGAACTCTGCCCTGGGGGAAAGGAAAGCCCCTGATTTCCATTACCCCAAGCCTTGCTTGTTACTAAGTCAAGGCTGACTTCTCATCCTTCCTGGCTGGTCTGTAGCACCAAAACCAAGACACAAATTCATATCCCAGTAAAGCCTCAGGGCTATTCCTGACAGCCAGGCTTGCGCCTGTCTCTGAGGAAGCAAAGCAGAGCTCCCCTACTCCCTCCTCCACCACAACGGGGTGGTCCCAAGGAAACAACCGCTTCTCAAGAGTGGGACTGGGGGTGCAGGATGTCGGGTCTGGGCTGGTCTGCTCCAGAGCTCCCCTACTCCCTCCTCCACCACAACGGGGTGGTCCCAAGGAAACAACCGCTTCTCAAGAGTGGGACTGGGGGTGCAGGATGTCGGGTCTGGGCTGGTCTGCTCTTCCCTGCTGCTGCTGACTTCTCTAACCACTCCCTCCTGTCGCCCTCTCTCACTCATGTGCCACCCCATGGTGGCTGTCACGTTTTTTTAGGTCCTTTCCTGTGAACCTGCCAGCTACAAAGGCGCAGAGACCGTGTCTCTCATCCCTCCACTGCCTGGAATTCGCGCCTGTACCCGCCCCAGAGCTGGGTTCACAGTGTTAGTCAGCTGGTGAACCAGGCCGTCCTGTTTACATCGGTTCGTTTTTTGTTTTAATTTACAGAGTTCTCATGGGTGAAGCTATATTTTCCTCAAAGCCTTTTGTTGGTCAGAAATAACTGTTCTTATATGGAGCTCCCATGTAGTCTCCTGTCCTCCGGGCCTCTGACCTCCTTGTGGTCGGCTCTAATTTCCACTCTGTTGCTGTCTGAAGGAACGAGCAGATACTTCCTTTGTTTTCTATTTTGAATCATCCTCAACAATTTCCTCTTTCTCAACAAAGACTTGTCACCTATAGTGGATAAAAATTACTTTTAGGAGATTCGTGGTTGGAGGCGAGGAAGATTTAGACCCACACAAGTAAAGCAGGTAGCTGCAGACTTAGCGTCATCTCTTTGACAAACGTGCCAATTATCAAAGGCACGACTGCCGGTTCCCTTATCCTGTTACCCTGAGTAACAGCTGTAGATGCCTCAGAGAAAACCTACTCAGCACGGGTCCCAACCCTTCTGCTCCCGATCATTCTGTACCTACATCTGAGTCATGAACAGGACGCTTCTCTACCAGGTGAACCTGTAAAATTGAATTACTGTCCTTCCATACTACCAAAATTCATTCATCTGAATTACAAGGGGTTCTGGGTACCACAGAAAACTTAACCTAAGTTGAACGAACATTTATAGAACATTTTAAAGTTGACAGCACACGCTCAGTAAAAGCATGCTCTCTAAAATCCAAATCGTAATTCTTTTTTTTTTTTTTTGAAACTCTGCGATCTACTTAATAACATAGTTGCGTCTATGACAGATTTTTTGTAGGAAATTTCAGAGCAATACAACTGGTGAGCCCTTAACCTCTCAGGAACCAGTGTTAGTTTATGATATTGTTGCAGTCACAACCACACAGTCGTCTCTATTCAAATTCAGAAAACCCTGAATTTATGCCAAAGAGAAAAATCAGTCTGTGAATTGGAGTGTGGTTCTTGTTAGGACTCAAACTTCTACCGGAATTATTTATTCCCTGGAGAAGTTCATCAGAAGTAAAATGTATATCATCTCAGAAGTTCAGATGTTACATTTTATACATATAATCAGATCCAGTGAAGGCCGTTCCTGGGTGAACACGTTGTATAGTCTCAAACTTCAAAGCTAAAATCTAGAGATTCAACTAAATCCACTGTTAGTGTTCCAGAAGCTCACAGTCAGCTGTCACCCTGTATTTGTATGACACTGACATCTTGTTTTCTCCTTTGATTTTTCTGGTAGTAACAAGTTTCGTGACCTAGCAATGACTACTTCCTAGAAGCCAGCTAGACAGTCCAAATGAAATCAGAGTATCTTTACTTTCTTTACTATTCTAGGTACTGGCTAAACCCTAATGGAATCCACCTTCTCATTTTGGTCAATTCCCTCATCATTTAAAGGAAATCCTCTGTAGTCTCCAACCCCAGGTCCAAAAACTAGTATTGGCCTGTTAAGAACAGGGCCAGGGCTGGCATCTGTGGCTCAAGTGGCTAAGGCGCCAGATACATACACCTGGGCTGGCAGGTTCAAATCCAGCCTGGACCTGCCAAACAACGACGGCTGCAACTAAAAAAATAGCTGGTGTTGTGGCGGGTGCCCAGCTACTTGGGAGGAGGAGGCAGGAGAATTGCTTGAGCCCAGAAGTTGGAGGTTGCTGTGAGCTGTGATGCCACGGCACTCTACCCAGGGGGACAGCTTGAGGCTCTGTCAAAAAAAAAAAAAAAGAATGGGCCATACAGCAGGGGGTGAGTGACAGGTAAGGGGGAGAAGCTCCACGTGCATTTACAGCTGCTCCCCACCATCCCCATCACCGCCTGAGCCCTGCCACCTGCCACCTGCTGCACCAGCTGCGGAATCAGATTCTCGCAGGAGATGAACCCTCCTACCTTGAGAACCTACTACCTGATGACGTGAGATGAGCACAGGTGGTGAAGCTGGGCTTGAGTTGTCCTGAAACCATCCCCCTCAACCCCAGTCATGCAAAAAGTGTTTCCATGAAATCAGTCCCTGATGCCAAAAGGTTGGGGACCGCTGCTCTAAAACTGTCACAGTTCAAGTATCTGATAGCTCCTTCAGATACCTGGCAGACTAAGGTAGAAAGTCAACCCTTGATTTGGTGAAAACTTTTAACCTTTGGGTGGTCTTGTGCCTCTTAGCCATTTCCAGGAATTGTTGTATAAATGTCTGTTCCCTTGCCCGCCACTCTCAAAGGCGGGGCCCAAGCCAGGGCACACCCTGCAGACCCCGCACTGAGGGGTCTGACACCGCGCCGGACACCAAGGAGGGCTGGATAAATGTGTGGGGACCCTGCGAGCACCGGCCTGGGACTCGCCGTGGGGAACAGCACCCCATCCTCCGAGGGCGCGGACATCTCTGGATGTCCCTGGCAGCGCGCTGGCCTCCCTGGGAACCCCCGGGTCTCCCCGGGCTGTCTTTGATTCACTGTCAGAACCCCTGAGAGCAAATCCTAGTCCCACGGCCAAAAGGGCCCAGGGATAGAACTCGCAGGATAATCATGTGGGCAGAAAACTGTTTTGGAGTGAACTGACCATTTCAGCCTAAAGTAAACAAAGATGAAATACTGCCAGTAATTTCAAGTATTGAAGGTTTTCTTAGGTAGTCCGCGATCTGTTATTCACACGCACTTAAGACAGGATAAAAAGAGTCTCTCTGACACTGAAGGATTTCAGCTGGACACCAGAGGCGCGACGGGCCAAGGACCCTGCGGGGCGGTCGGCTTGGCGGACTTAGGGTCACCTGCACCTGCTCCGTGAAATGCTGAGGGAACGCCCCTACCTAGGGCATGAGGACAGTAAGCGACTGTAAAGCTCGGAAAGATGTTCCACTGCATGGACGAGAGGCCTTCTCGGCCACAACCTCCCGCACCAGAATTTGCTGAAACAGCGACGCGAGCTTCCGGCTGGGGTCTAGCCGCGGTGTTGGTCTATGCTGCCTTCTAGCGGCTGGAGTCAATATTACACCAGCCCGGGGTCGTGCTCAAAAACTGACCCAAGGGAGTTTGGGAGACTGACTCTAGGGACGGTTTCCAAATTCCCTTCAACTAGCTTATTGCGCAGACGAGGAAACTGAAGCCCCCAAAGTCAGGTGCTTAACCTGAGATCACAGAGCGAGCGGCAGAAGTAGTTAGTTAGGGCAGCGTTGCTGTCTTCAGCCAGACAGGCAGGACCTGCGGTGAGGGATCAAAGCGCT